TTTTTTAGGACTTTTGTTGGACGCAATTAGCACGGAGGCTCTGTAATATGGAAGAGCTAGTCCTTTGACAATTGACAGTGGAAGCATGCCTGGGTTCATTCGTTTGAATTGCCATATCCAAAAGTAGTGTCTCAGTGATGTTCCTTAGAAACAGTGTCTAACTGAAAATTCTCTGACTTTATCTGTCTCTGATCTAGATTTAGTGTTCAGGATAAAAAACTGCAACCTTTGTGATGAAGATGCTTACGCATCTTTTCTTGTCACTTCTTGTAATGGTTTCCAAATCGTAGTCATAACATCTATGAAATGTGGGACCAATTTCTCATCATCATGGCTGAATTAAACCAGATCGTGGCTACTATTCTGTGGAGACTGTACACTTTTGGTGGCCTTAAAAGTTCGCTACAGAGACAGAATCACAATTCTTAGGGGAAATCATGAGAGCCGTCAATTACGCAAGTGTAAGAATGTTTTCTTTGCATTCGGTAATTCTCAAATTAATTAATACCACGAAAACATGAAAGGAAAAAATTTTAAACAAAAAGTATGATGCTAATTGTTGACTTCACAATTTAATTTTTACCTTTGGCGTTCTGCTTTCAGGTATGGCTTTTATGATGAATGCTTGAGAAAATATGGAAATGCCAATGTCTGGAAATACTTCACGGACTTATTTGATTATTTGCCTCTGACTGCCCTTATTGAGAGTCAGGTCTGAGTTAAAAATGTTGCACAGAATTTTTGTCCTGCTATTTTCACTCAATTGTCTAACTTCCTTGATTATTTCAGATTTTCTGTTTGCATGGAGGCCTTTCACCTTCTTTGGATACACTAGATAATATTCGGTCCCTGGATCGCATTCAGGAGGTATGTGAGTTGCTAAATGGCTTGTATGAATGCTGTACAGTCTAATGATATGCTTGGTATTGAGAGTATTTTTATGTCAATATGTAGTAGTTGGGCAAACGGAATGTGTGTGTGTGTGTGTGTGTGTGTGTCCTTTTCTATATGGTTCTTGGAGATGATTTGGCTGGAAACATATTATTGAATGTTAAAACGGTGAACCATAAAAGTATGTTTCAGTTGTGCATTGGCTGATTTTATGATCTTTAGGTCTATTATTGGTTTTGAAATCGAAGCATTCCCCTTGACTCCTAAGATTCAACAAAGAAAAATTTCATTGCTGTAACAATTGGTAGGGAGCAAATCCACAAGGATGTTGAACGACCCTTTTGGACAAAATAACTTTTTTATTGACCCTTCCAGGCCATAAATTATAATTTACCTTTTTATTGGGCTTTTTAAAATGCTTTCTAGGGTTCACCACAATGATCCATTTCTCCTTCCACTTGGATTAATTCCATACTTTTTAGTTGTCGGTTGTCATATGTCTGCCTTGCCTGGCGCAGTAGGAAGAATTTAGGCTGTCTCATCTTTTAGCCATTGGCGGAATGTCTCTTGTTGGCCTTTTTTCTTACTTAAACCTTTACGGATGAGTTTAATTAATTGGATAAATAGCGACTCTTGCGCTATGGTTGCCTGATCAATTGTACTTCTGCATTGCAGGTTCCGCATGAGGGACCCATGTGCGATCTCCTGTGGTCTGATCCAGATGACCGTTGTGGATGGGGCATATCTCCCCGTGGTGCAGGATATACATTTGGACAGGACATAGCTTCGCATTTTAACCACACGAATGGCCTCTCCTTAATTTCTAGAGCTCACCAGCTTGTCATGGAAGGATATAATTGGTGCCAGGTGCCCGCCTGACCTTCAATTTAGGAATCTGTATAGTTACATTTTTAACCTTATCCATTCAAGATATTGACATATCTTATGACTTGTTTAGGAGAAGAATGTCGTGACTGTATTCAGCGCTCCGAATTACTGTTACCGGTGTGGGAATATGGCTGCGATACTGAAATAGGAGAGAACATGGATCAGAATTTTCTCTGCAGTTTGATCCAGCTCCCCGGCAGGTCGAGCCTGACACTACACGCAAGACTCCAGATTATTTTTTGTAATTTCTTATGTTTCCCAGACACTTGTTGTCACTTTTTTTCCTGCTGCGATTATAGATGTGTCTTTTAGAGTTTATCTTCTTCATAATTCTTTCTTCTGGAGTTTGTCATCATCGTCTGTTGCTGCTGCTGCTACTGTCTTGTCTGCGCAAGAAAAAGAAAACCCATAGGAGAACTGGCAGAAGCCACCAGTTGGTTTGTATATATTTTTTGAGAGGAGGAAGCAGCCTTAACATGGTATAAACTGGTTCTGAAATTTTATATATATATTTTTTTCAATCTCAGGGTAGAGCCAATTTTTTGTGACCTGGCAGTCATGTCCATTTGAGACTAAATGGTTGTCCCAACTCCTTAAAAACGAAGTGCAGGTATTCATTTACATTATTATCGAATGGTTTATTGGAGCCATACTCGTGGGGTTTTTTTGTATTTTTTTTCCTGTTTGTTTTGTTTAATTGGAAAGAAACTAGAAAACGATGATCCTCACCATTCTCAGTATTCCCAAATTTGTGCGGTGAGTTGGTCATGTCATATCTTTGGTGGTTACTTGACTTGAGAGGCAGGTTCAGTTTTCTTATCACCAGTCGGCAATGTTTATCATCTTAAAGATAAAAATTAATTTAAATGACTTTGGGGTATGAAGATTAAGGTATAATTTTATGTAAATTGAAAGGGGGAAAAGTCTATGAAAATGATTTGGTTTTGCTTGGAAAAGCTTTGTGAAGCCAAGCAGCTAGCATTTCCGTGTGAGTTCTGTTTGAGAGTGGAGACATAAATGCCTCATTGGTCGACCATGTTGGAGAGTGGGACCTTTTTGGTTGGCCCGAAGGGACGAAACGACCTCTCGAGTCTTGAGTTGATTACATCCGTCGTTGTTATGTGTATTTAAAAATTGACAAAAACTACCAATAGGGGTTGGGTCTAACTAACAGAAAAGGTTAGTCTTATAACGTAACGAATTAAAGTTCGAATTCTCATTGAGAGAGGTATTTATATTTAGTGTTCGATAATATCTTGAATAGAATTGTTTTCAATAGGAGGATATTTATGTTTTAGTCCAAAAAAAAATTGACAAAGACTGCGTTGAAGACTTATGGCCTACTGGCTAGCATGCACTATGCCGACGGCAAAATAGAAGTTCGAATAGGCAAAGACCAGAAGGGATAGACAAAATAAAAATAGATATACTCTGAATTTAATACAAGAAATTTATGAATTATAAGAGTCTAATTATAAACTTTTAACTTATAAGGATCAAACTAAAAAACTTGAATCAAATTAAGATGATGTGAGTATAATCTATTACCTCCAGTCTTTAATATAAGACCTTATTTGACTTTTATTTTGGTTCTAAATATAAGACCCCAATCTACTTTGTCTCTCATATTTATATATTTTTTTCAAAATAGTCCTTCTAACAATGGTAGTTCTTGCCAATACATTTGATTAGCAAGGATATTTTAAGAAACACAATACCTATTTAGGACAAATAACTAACTCAACTTACTTTCTTAATCTCTTCAAATTAGTCAACTGGCTCTTATAATTAGGACCGGAGGTATTATCTACAAATAAATAAATAAGTAAAAGGACCATATTATTTATAAACTGGAACAATTTTGCTATCCTTCAATAAAATAATTTTGACCCAAATTAATTTCTCTTAGTTAATAATATAAAATTTCCATTATTTATATAACCATTATTAAATGTTCTACCTCCGATCCTTAATATAAGAGTTAGTTAACTAATTTGAGTAAATAAAGAAAATTAGTAATATTGGTTCTTTGTAATAAATAGATATTGTCTTTTGTCGAGTACTATTGCTAATCAAATGTCATTTGATGAAATATTTAATATGTGCAACTATTACAAAGATTACCTTAAAAAAAAAGACAAATATAAGAGGCAAAGTACGTTAAAGTTATATTTAGAACCAAAATGAAAACCAAACAAGCTCTTATATTAAAGAGAGGAGGTAGGAGCATATTTTTATATTATTTCATTTTACATAGTATGTAAAATTTTCAAAATAGTAATAAAAAGAGAGTTACATAATTTACAAATGTGTTACAAGTGGAAAGCCTAATTTACCCTTAGTATTGTTGCCATCCTTGTGAGTTGTGATCCTACCTGGCTTGTCTCCATCCTGGTATATCATGACAGTTACTGCTTAGAAAAACAGAGTCCTAGTTTCTCTACACATCCAAGCTTTTATTCTGTAGCAAAGGGGTTGTAGAAGATGGCATATTCTTCTTCTGAATCTTGTGCTTCTCATTCACCATCTTTTCCTCTTGAGCCAGACCCCACATCACTGAGTAAAACCCAATTCCTATTATACCTGCTCCTATCATGCTGCATTAACAAATCAAACTCCACGTTTTTAGATATTAAATCCCCCTACTTCACCATTTATGCTCACAGTTCCATAAATTCCCCACAACTTAGATTTTGTTTGTGTACCTTCCCAGATAAAGAGTCTCCCTCAGAATATGACTCCCATGCCAATTGCAATGACCATCCCTAAAGGGTTGAACATAGCCACATAATTGGCCCCTTCTTTCGACTAGCCCATGCAAGCACAACACTTCGGATTGATACCTGAAATATTGCCTGCAAATAATGATCCACATCATCACTATAATGAACTATATTTATACATACCAGTGAGCGTTACTTTTGCACCGGCATCAAGTAGCTTGCTTTATTTCTTCTGCAGTTTGTACTTACTGAATAAAATATGGCTACCAATTCCATATCAGGCCTGAGTATCCAAGCTTCAGAAGCTCCCTCTGCAATGAGAGCTACGATGGCAGAAAGAACTACCACAAAACTGCAACAAATGGTTGTGACCATGAACTCTGAGGGATAGTCCTTTAGAACCCAAACCTGCCCATATATTTGAAGATGGAAAGTTGTTCAAAGGAAAGAAAACAAAATTATAGTTTCAGCCAACAAAGACAAACTCAAATATCTAGATTGAGCTTTTATTAGATCTGGTACTTCCATTTAGTATATATCTCATAACAACTACTCCTCGGTCCTTTTTTTTAAACAACCTTGAATTAAATAACATAAATAAAAAATTTAGTTAAAATTAATTAAAAATAATAAATGTATAGAAATTAAAAGTTTTTTTTCCTCCAAAATACCTTTATTGATGAGAGAGAGTATAAAAAAAAGAATAAAAAGTTATTAAAATAAAGAGAATTATGAAAGAAAAAGAATATGTGATGAAGAGAGATCATATTAAAATATAATTTTCAGAACATTTAATTATTTTGAAAATGATGTTTTAAGAAACAAAAAATTAAATATATCAATTATTAAAATAAGTCCTTAATATGGATAAAATAGGAAGTTTGTTACAAAAATTTAAAACAACTTGTAGTTGCTTATATTTAGGAACAAAAAGAGGATGATGGTTATTGTTTAGAATAACGGATGGAGAGAGTATTTAGTATTGGTTGTATAAAATAATTCGTATTTAATTATTATCAAGTCCTTGAAAAAGTAACTTGGTATAATTTTTCCATTGATCATAAGATTCTAACTGAAAATCTTATTTAAAAAATATTGAGTTCCTTTGACTTTGCACTCAATTCGATTGTTTTTAGTAATGACAAAGAGAGCAAAGTAACAGAGAGACAAAAGCTTTAAGAATAATTCATCTAACCTTTTAAGAATTTTTAAAGATGGAGGAGTACTTTTCGATGATGGAATAAGTTTGAATACCTGGATAACAATTAAGAGAGAGATACAAAAGCTGGCAATTGAAAGGAGAAAGCCTCCCAACAGCCAATTCGAAGGCTGTGACGAGAGCGAAACCCGACTCAGTGGCTTCTCTGGTAGGGGCTGAGGAGTAACTGGAAGACCCTTGTATAAGGTCACAATTAATGCTCCTGTGATTGACACCACTGTTCCAATAGCTTTCGCTTGACTGCTTCGTAATTTCAAATCCAGATTTTCCATCCTGAAATTACACAACAGAGTTCACTGATTTTTCAGTCCGGTCTTCTGCCGGTGAATATAACGCAAATCTAGTTTCGTGAGTCCCGTGAGTCCATCAAAGTTCCAGATTAAGAGTGACATCTAAATGCGGCCCAAAAAAAAAAAAAAAGAGTGACATCTAGACTACTTGAAGTGGCACTTGCGAAGACAGTGAAGGCAATTGGCCAAATCCAAAACAAAAAAGAGAGTAAAAGATGCAATCTGTTTGAGTGCTTATGACCGTTTACATCTGATCTAAACGCTCTACATAGGATGTTTTTAATTAATTATTTTAAATAAATAAAATCATTTTTTTTAATAAAGTGATGGTTAAATTTTTTTTAAAATTTTATATTCTATATCTACTAAAATAATTATTTAAAAAAATAAAAATTTACAAAAGTTAAATTTGGTCCATTCAAATTATATATGGCCAGTCCGGATGAGATAAGGTTGGGTTACTCACGAGCATCCAATCCGGTTCACAAAAGAGAGAGAAATGAAAATTAAAGGACGTGATTTTACCCCCCAAAAAAAAATGGATGTGAATTTTTTTAAAATCAGAAATTTGCGAAGCGCTTTGAAAGAGTGAAATTAAATAAAAATTTGAAAATATCAACAGAATAATTAAACATTATAGTTTATACATGATCGTTTTTTTTAAAAAAAATTGGGGATAAATCTTTTAATTGACAAATAGTGCCTGAGATGATGGATTTGCATAAAAAAAAATAAGTTACACGCAAGAGAAATTAAGTTACATGAAGATAAGATGATTTGCACAAAATATTACTACCTCTGGTTCTAAATATAAGAGTTAGTTGATTAATTTGAGTAAAATTAAAAAAATAAGTTAAATTAGTTATTTATAATAAATATGTATTTTCTTTTCTAAAATATCCTTGCTAATTAAGTTTATTGCCTAGAACTATTATTATTAGAAGGATTATCTTGAAAAAGATGAATGGATATGAGAGACAAAGTAAATTGAAATATTATATTTAAAACTAAAATAAAAATTAAAAAAATGTTATATTAAGAGCCGAAGGTGATACTTAGATGTAAAGGACTAATTTGTACACATAAGATAGATGACTTATACACTGGAAAGATGGATTGGTTACAAGGTTCCGCTGCACAAAGAGAAGATATTGCACGAGATAAGGTGAATTTTATATATATATATATATATATATATATATAAAAGTTAAGTTGCACTATATTCCTGTGAATCATTTGCCGGTTAATTCCTCAATGATAAATATATTTTCTATTTTACCCTTTTTCTTACGTTACATATAATTTAACTTTTCCCATCCAAATTAATCACTCGGCCCCACTCTCTTTGTCACATATAAAACAATAATTTTAGACAGTCCTGGGTACTGAAGGCGTGGCTCCAATCAATTGCAGCAATGTCCACGTCCCAGTCCAAATACCACAAGGAAAAAATTGAAGGTGGGGAGCAGCTGTGCTCAATTATCAACTGGCGGCACATTTTTGTACAGTAGCATATGCATAATGTATTCGGCATTAAAGATAACAAAAACAGTATGAAGTAATAAACATTTTTGTATAAATTTGTCGCATTTTTTTAGTTGCGTAAAACAGTGAAAAATTCATCAGGCTACTTGATGAGACATTTGTAAACTCATCTTGTAATTAACTAGTTAATTCATTTCCAATCGAGTTTGTTTATTACTTCAATGATTATTTTTACTTTATTGTTTCTTCATTATATGTACAAATAAGGAAAAATCTTTAAAAAATAACTGTTGAATTTTAAGATCTCAAATCAAGAATTACTATAAAAGTCTGTTGTTATTTGCTTTTCGAGTATAGTCATTTTCTTTATTAGTGTGGTGACTAATACTAATTTAAAATTTTAAAATTCAACAGTTATTGTTTTTATATTTTCTCAATAAATAATTTCCTCGCTTTGTACTGTATGCTGATTACTAATCAGGACAGAATTTCAAAGATCGGCACCAACAGGACTGTAAAAGTCGTTTGTGCCAATTGCCGCTCCCAAAAGTAAAAGTAATGACATAAACCTTTAAGAAAATATGTTGAAAAGAATTACTAACTTCATTTTATATTATTTTAACTAATTTATACTCATTAAAAAATTGTTTATATTTTATGATAGAATAGAGTAGCATAGCATCTACTTTACCCTTTATGATATTCTAAAAATATAAATTTTTATATATACTTTTTATTAATTACATAATTTTCTTAATATCTAATCTCAATAATTAATCATTAGGATATTTTAAGTGAAATAATATTAAAATATAAAGATTAGGGGGTCTGGAAATTGGACAAGGATCTCAAACACATATTTGTATGTTTTATTATTTATTACATAAATAAATATAGATGATTCAATTTTTCAAAAGACACAGCATAAGGCAGAGGATGAAGACTGAAGAAGAAGAAGACCGACCTGGAAACGATGGCAAGGATGAAAGTGAAAGCAGGAACAAGATCCAACATAGCCGAAGACAAGGTGGGAGAGCTTAATTGAATGCCACTATACATCAGTGTCTGCACTGCACAGCTACCATAACAAACAAACAAACAAACAAACAAAACAACGCAAACAATCAAATTCCACACCTCCTATCAGATTCAGAGCATTTCAGACCACAAACATTTTTCACAAAATCCATACCTGAGCACGCTAGACAGGAAGATTCTACCGATAATTGACCTTGAGACTGGGGGAGGAACCACCTTCCTGTGAAAGTCGTTAAATCAACAAAGAGCACAGAGTAATTTCGAGCCAAAGCTGCGAGAGAAAAAAAATTAACTGCGTATCGGATTTGATACACGCTCAACATTCGTGCAGAAACAACGGAACTTTTCTCACTTTCCTTCATAAGATGAAATTCTATCAATATAATTCACGAAATTAAGAAACGACTGCAATGATAACAAATAAAGATGATAGCCGACAGTGAAGAAGATGACGATAGGACTCAAATTAACCAGAGAGAAACAGCTTGAAATCCCACATAATGCTGTGAAAATAGTTAAGTCAACAAAAGCAAAGAGTAATTATTCAAGCTGAAGCTGTGAAAGAAATTAAACTGCGCATCGGCTTTGATATATATGTTCAACATTCGTACAAAATACAC